TATATATATCCAGCCCCCCGAAAATAGGCCTAGTGATGCCACTGCTTCTTGCTTAGACTCAGAGAAAAATGGCATAATGTTCTTTCAAAACTGTTTGGATACATGCATTGATACAGAGTGTAATTTGTGTACAGAGAAATAAATGATCAATAACAAATTGATGTCTTAAAATATTTTATGTTAATTGAAATTAATGGCAAAAATTCAAAGACTTTTTTGCATTTTGGGTGGATGATTTGTCTAGGACTTCAGCCAACACTGTTGTTTCACAAAACGCAAATTAATAAATAAACGTAGAACGGAACATAGAATAATCATGAGAATAATGTTCTTGTTTATAGTTTTGGCTCACCCAGGTGCGCACTGGCCTCTAGCGCAGCGGAATGTAACCGCGTTAACGTAGGAAGATGTCTCATCCAATGACCGTTGAGAGTCGTGTCATGGTGCCTCCCTATTGGTTCATTCTAGGAAACTGGAGGCGGGATTTGTGCAAAGCCATACGCTCTGGAGAAAACTCACCGACGCGACGTCGAAAAGACAGGATTTTGACGAGGCCCTTGAGATTGTTTAATGTCAAGAACAAGACAACGTAATGTTACAAAGTCTTCATAGTACTTTTGGGTGATTATTTTATTATAAAGTTGTTGTAGCGTTACGACGGACTTGAAACTTTGTCAGAATTAAATGGTTTAGCTAACGTTAGCTTAAGGTGTACGTCGCTGCCCATAAACATTCTAGTATCGGATGCTAACGGTTCGTTAGTTACTGACATTAGCTTAACGTAAAACATTAGTTACAGTTTATAAATGCCGTATACAACGTTTGTATTGTGTGATTGTACATGAACAAAGACATTGCATGACTTTAGAAATCCAGGCAGTCTAGTAACAACGTGCTTAGACAGAAGTGCTAACATACAGCACTGCGCAGAAAAGGCGCTCCTTGGCTTCACATTATTTTGTTGTTCTGCAGGCCTCCCACGTGGTGCATTCATGAGTCGTACTTTCATCTGCAGGGAGAATTTTTAATAAAAGCGTGAGTACCTCGTTTGTTTTATTGTTTAACATCCATTTCAGCTAATGCCAGGATATGTCTCGGTTGTCAGTTGAAAAAAATATGGCGGTATGCAGCTAAACACATTACTTTCTACTTCCTTTTGCAGGATGAATGCTCTTGACTAGAACTCACTGTTGGTCAGACGATAAAACAAAAGACCAAGAAGGACGTAGACCTTAACAGCAAGGGGCCATGGCTTACTCAAGCTACAGTAACCTGAGCAGGGCTCAACTTACATTTGAATACCTGCACACAAATTCGTAAGTACCACTTTTTTGTTTTCTGTGTCAAGTTGTGTCCTTTATACTACACCTGCATGGTGTAGTAACGGATATTCAGCTACACAAAAATACAATTTTAAATGTTTTTATCTGCCATCAAACTTGTTCAAGGTATTTAGTTTACTGACTCACATGGCTTGCACTTAACAGAGGAGTGAATAACAATCAAAACCTTATTTTATGATCGCTTCACAGCACCTGTTTTTTTAATGCATATATTCAAAGGTTTACTTCATACAATCCCCCTTTTTCCTGAAACACAGGCAATCGTACATAATGAGATATGAACTGGTGATGAAATTATAAAATACTGTTAATAATTTATGTTATGTGAACTAGGAATGTGCGATATGGCGAAAAAATCATATCACGATATACATTATGATGAGTGGCGGTAACGATATATATCACAATATAAAACTTATAATAGAATAATAGAAAATAAATAAATCACACATTAATTGAGTGGAATAAATATGTATAGGTAAAAAAATTTAGACCTTAAAGTCTCCTTTTTAAAGGAGACTTTAAGGTCTCCCATAAAAATCTAAATTTAAGGGAGATCTACCTGGTTAAATCATATACTGTGTGTGTGTGTGTGTGTGTG